AGCAGTGTGTTTGTGTGAGTCTAGTGGTGTGAATATTTTTGTGCTTTCTGGGATGTTAGGACTCAACACTGCCCTTGGATTAGGAGCAGGTTTTAAAACAATCATCCCTTTAAAAAAAAAAAAAAAAAAACAAAAAGGATAGTGTAATTTCTAAGAAAAACATGTAACATGTAAACCTAACTTATATTAGCCAACAAGTATTTCGCATGCCCCAGTGCACTAGTATGACCTATGTCTATGATGTGTCTTGGTTTTACAACATTAAAATCTGGTTTATCAATGCATCACCCAGACTGCTCTCTCCAGGGATATGAATGTATACACTTTATACATAATGTATCGGGATGTAAAACCCTCAGACGGCCAGACAGCTTCACTTAAATAACCCATTGCACTAGCAGAACAACCACTGCATTACAAACAATACATAGAATCAGTGCACGCCTGCCTTATTCAAACCACACAACTGGAAAGTCTGCATAAAATATTAAATAGAATACAGTGATTTTCTTTGTTTTAGGTCTTTCTTTTGTTGATTTTATATGGTTTATAGTGGTTTCAAAAAAAAAAAAAAATAACACATTTATGGTCTTTCACGGCTGTTTAAGCACAGTGTACATTTCTGATTTTGACTTGGCAACTCTCACATTATAAGACAAAAATTATAAAGGGGCACTGCAGGTTAATTGATCTCTGGTACTTAGTGACCTCAACATTTTCCTTTCTCAGATTTCCAGCTTGTAGGGTAAGTACAGTGAATATTGCACAAAATAACAAGAGGTTATTGGCACATGTAGTTCTACAGATGCAAATATCTTCATTCATGAAATAACATAAGACGACGACTATGTACCCGATCTCTAATACAATCTGCAAAGATATTATAATTGCTATCTTGCAAAAATTTAGAACTATGCCCCATATCATATGGGTATTTACAAAAAAAAAAAAAAATAATTTATCCTAACATTTTTGTTGCAAACATTTAATTTAAAACCATGTTTTCATTTGGTTATTCTTTTTTTATGTGTGCTTGTCCTATTTTAATTGATAGTTAACTGTATTTCAGCATTGTGTCAAGATGTGAAAATCTTGCATTGATGCTAACAGTATAAGGACAGCCTCACTGATTTTGTCATTTGTATTGACCAGAAATTGGTTTTATACTCTGTCATAAGCTGGGACAAGAAATTAAATCACTCTATTCACACTACGTTGTCAGGCCATTTTCTTAACTAATGTATATTTAAAGAAATTTCTATTTAAGAACACTAAAATAAATGTGTCCGATATTTTATTAAATTGCATTTAGTCTTTTTTTCTCTTGAATAATTTACAGACAGATTTAAGGTCAATTATATTATGACCAAGGTCACTATAATCACATTAACCTCTCTACATTTCCTACTGTGTCCACCCATCCTTATCTTCTTGACTTGCAATATCTAGTATGGCCGTATTCATCAACTTTGGTTCAAAATCTTCCCAGTTTCCAATAAAAATAAATAAATAACAAACTATATATTTCACAGTGGGAGAGTCTTCAGTTCTACTGAATCCTCTCTTGTCCTTCAAAAGTCTCAATACTCAAGTAAGATACGGAAGAGAAACCGCATGGACATAAAACAGGTGATGGTTAGAGTGATTGTTGTCCCATTCCCCCCTCTCTACAACACCCTTTTTGTTGCCATTTTAGCCACTTTTTATGAATAAAGGAAGCCTTTCTCTGTATAAAACAAAGAGTTTTAATTTGGCTAAAATGACCACATAAAAGAAGCACTACAAATAGCTTTAAAAACTAGTACAATACCGAAAGCACTTTTTCTTTTTTAATGTTTGATCGCTGAAATAGTACAAAACTACAATGCGAAGTCTAGAATGGACAATTGGGCAAGGTGAATTTATTACATAGACCTATCTAAATTCTGTCTATTATACATTCTAATAACAAATGTAGACAGGACATTTTATTCTTTTAAAATTAAGCCCAAGTAGGGTCTATGACAAGTATAATTGTATTGTGGTGGAAGTATGACAGTATTCCTTAGGAAAGCATTCAGAATCTTCTCCTACATGTAGCTGAATCCCCCAGGTCTTAAATCCAAAAAGATATTTTATGCAGTCGTTGTAAGATTTATAGCTTGTATACTGTAGGGAAGCTAAGCTCCCACTGTGTATTATATGTAATGGTTTATCATTACAGCAGAATGTCACGTAAAAAAGGGGGATTTTGGATAGCACATTATTGCTTCTGTGTTTTCATGAACAGTGCATATTAGACATGGGCATTCACTTTTGGACAAAAACATTTTCAACAATTCAGCAATTTTTCCAAACGACGAATAGAAAAATGCAAATTATAACAAATGAAACAAAAGAAAAATTTTTGTTGCATTAAATTTTGCCCATGCAATTCATTCTTTTGTTTAAATCGTTTTAGTTTAAAAGGAGGGAGCTACCAGACGCTTTCTAAATCCCTCCATAAACCTAGCCAATATGACCCACATATTAGTATAAGAGAGGTTAAATCCTTCCTCCTGTCCCAATCTGCCTCGCTGTGAGTAAGGTTATGTCTTCTTGCGGTCATAAAAAAAAAAAAAAAAATTATATATATATATATATATATATATATTCCGATGGTGGTGAACCTAAAACGTAAGGTGCAGGTCATAGTGTCCCCGGTGCCCCCTTCTGTGCAAAAATTAAAGGAACACTATAGTCACCAGGACAACCACAGCTTAATGTAGTTGTTCTGGTGAGTATAATCATTTCCTGAAGGCCTTTTCATGTAAACACTGCCTTTTGCACTGTCTCCATGCTGATTTCAGCCAATCCAATGCTTTCCCATAAGGCAAAAAAAAATAAAAAAATAACCCTTACATTTTCATGATGTCAGCAAGGAGGTGGATCAGGGCAGGCCGGCACAGCGGACCCGTGCGGCGCTTAAAAAAAAAAAAAAAAAAAGTTAGTTTTATCCCCTGTGTTCCTGACCCTATACTGTTACTTTAAATGTTTTACTTAGTATTAATAAAGTTGTCTGAAAGATAAAAATTACTAAACAAAGTTAGGGCCATCCAGAATTTAGGTCTTTCAGCTTCTTAGTAGATGGCTCCCCAATCCTTATGTGGGACTGCCATCTACTAAATAGCTACCTAATTTGGTACCCTTAAATATGGCCCTTAAATATGGCAGTCCCACAAGGGAACCTATACAGACTTTCGATTCTTAACCATGTTGGCCCTGGATCATTTAGTAAATAGTTTGTAATCACGAAAATGTCTTTCCCTATCCTTGCCAATTACCAGCAGCTTCCACAAAACAGATGGTAAAAGTCATCACCCATCACTATTGGACTAAAGTTATACCTGCCGCACCTGGGTGTAAACTTCTCTTTTCAGTGGCAAATGCTTAATACATCCAAGTTAGAAAAAAAAGTTACTTTTTTTTATATTTAAGTTCAACTAACTGGTTACGTCCATCTACAAGCATGATGTATACAGATACAGTTTTCCCAGTAGATTCTCCCAATGCAGTGACCAGGTACCCAAACATCAGCCGAAACTTGATGAAGGATGTAACAAGACTAAAGCTTTATTGGTGCCACACTGGCTCTTATACATCTCCCCATGCAAGGGGCACTCCCCCGTGGACCTTGTGGGGAGTACAGCCAATAATAATGCAGTGACAAACTGTGACACTCTCAATACAAACAAGCAATTCCCTCCTCTCTGCCTGGAGATAATTGAGTCAGATAAAGTAATAAATTAATTATCTCGATGCAGAAAAAACATTTTCACAAAACTTGAAAATTACCCCAATACATTCAATATCCCCATAAATGTCATATCCCCAGATAGCTCTGATCTGGGTGACCAACATATCAAAAAAAAAAATCACCCAGACCAGTTCAGGGGTTTTCAAATTTTATGGAAGTCCAATTTGGACCGACCGCACAAGAAGCTCCTGCCCAGAAACAGTTCCATGAGTTTAGGCTGTGCGGTCGGTCTATTTCGACAAGTCACAAAAACGAAATAATGCACAAATGGAATCCCCTGGCTCATAGTAGCGATTGTTCCCCTGGTTTTTGGGAACTAAACTACCGCACACTGCTCTCCTAGCTGTTCGGGAAAAGGAAGCAGACGTTCATATAGTTCAGCAAGTAGAGTGTCCGATTTTACTTCCATACACTCAACGACCAAGTCCCACTGCTTCTTTTTGTGAAAACAAGATGGCCACCACACAGGGAGAGCGCTTAATTGATGGTTTCCATTGATGATAACGAGCCAGGTGGGCGGTCGGTGGTTTGGTAGTTTTAAACTACAGAACAAATAAACAAAAACTGGGAAGACATGCGGAGTAGTGTTCGAAAAAGTCTCGGAAATGCAGAGTTTTCTTACAAAAAGCACCGCAATTTACGATCTGTGCCCATAGAATGATTCTCAGAGATGTGCTGAATCAATTTCTTCTAGATGATAAAGATTGCCTTCTGCTTTAACAGAACACTCAAAGTAAGGAAGAACATACCTTTGGCCAGGGAGGGAAACATGATGATCCATGCTGGTCCACTGATTGACTCTAAACATGTGCATCTCATGAGCTCCAATACTGTCACAATCTCTGAGCAAGGCTGTGGTAACCTGCAGCAATTCCTTGAATGGCAATACTCAGTCTGTACCCAGCAGAGGTTAGAGTCTCCACAGCCACCACTAGCAATAGGTTGCACTGAGCTGGTGGGGGTTCTCTATACTAGTCCATTAAAAAGTTGGCCTGACTGCATGGGAGATCCTTTAATTTCCTCTGTTGGAGACCCACTGTGTATTTGGCGGTCTGCCCAATGTCCAGTCTGAAACCCGGGCTTTCTCCATATCAAAGAACATGTGATAATTTGAATATATTTATTACAAGCTGCAAGACAGAAGCCTGAATTTGTCTGTTTTGGAAATTATCTATAATGCTATTAAATAGGGTACTCATTGTATAAAACAGAAAGCAAGATTAATTTACTACAGCCTAGACACTAAATAACATAGGTGGACAGAGTGTTCCATCCAGTAATTTATATTCATTTTAGATATTCTCCCCCTCTTCTACTTTACAATCAAATATAAAATCAAGGCCCCAACACATTTATATTCAACTTGTTCATATTCCAGAAATACCAAGTTTCCATACACGAGTTTGCCCAAAACTTAAAGGACCACTATAGTGCCAGGAAAACATACTCATTTTCCTGGCACTATAGTGCCCTGAGGGTGCCCCCACCCTCAGGGACCCCCTCCCGCCTGGCTCTGGAAGGGGGAAAGGGGTTAAAACTTACCTTTTTCCAGCGCGAGGCTCTCCTCCTCCTCTCCGCCTCCGTTCCTCCCCGTCGGCTGAATGCGCACGCGCGGCAAGAGCTGCGCGCGCATTCAGTCGGTCGCATAGGAAAGAATTTACAATGCTTTCCTATGGACGCTTGCGTGCTCTCACTGTGAAAATCACAGTGAGAAGCACGCAAGCGCCTCTAGCGACTGTCAATGAGGCTTTCTCTGAAACTGCTATGTTTATAAAAGAATGGGTTAAGCCTAGCTGGACCTGGCACCCAGACCACTTCATTAAGCTGAAGTGGTCTGGGTGCCTAGAGTGGTCCTTTAAAACAGAAAAGAGTACATATATACTGATATACACACACACACACACACACACACACAGTATTGAAGCATATTTTGTTTGATATATGATTAATGATTGCTTCTTGTTAAGAGTAGTTTGCACTTTATATAGTGTCTTTCTAAGTATTTCTTTTAACATTGTATAAATATCTTGTCATTTTTATAATGATTTTCTCTACGAGCAATCCTTTTTGGGGGTTTGCATTCCTGTGAAATAATCATTTGTTTATTTTTCAACAATCATCAAAACCATATTTACAAAGACATTTTCTGGCTCTATAGAAATCAATAATCCATTGCTCTTAAGACTGCAACATTCAAAGGCAAGTAGAGAAAATACTGGATTTATTTAAACAATGCCTTTAAATGGAATAATCATGGGAAGAGATTTTTTTTTTTTAGCAGTAAATGTGGAGAGATATGTAAAAACAAAACAAAAAAAATGCAAACACAAAAACGTAATAGTATAAATCTGCAGCATTATGTCTAGTTATTTACTAACCGAACATAATTTTCATTTACATAATAGGCTCAATTCTTTGTTCACGAAGCTTGTTTATTGAACCTACACTTTTAGGAAATGCTGAAAATGTTGCTGGTTCCTAGAAGCTAATTCCATAAGATAAAGCTTTAGTTATCTAGCAAATCTTTATTAAAAGGAACCCTCCTAGCACCATAATCATTACATATATCTACCAACTATGACGGTTTACATTTACAAGCGTTTAAAAACAGAACAAAGCAGGGGCAGAGTCAAGCAATTGAGCTGAATGGTTGCATCTACCAAGAGGTCTGCTCTGCTGAACCCTTTTAATTCTCATTGTAGAAGTGAAAAACGGAATTTGAGATTTTGGAAGAATATCCTAGTAGCTTGAAAGTCATTATTGTGACAGGAGTCGTAACCCAACACGCAGGAAAGAGGAAACTACAAAAGGTGGATCCAAAAGACGCATTACAGAGCCTTAGAATTGCCGGACTTAACGTAACTAAACAACAAGAGTCAAGACAAAGTCATGACAAAGCCGAGGTCAGGATACCAGAAATCACGAGTCAAATACGAAGCTGAGGTCAAACACAGGCAATCACAAGAGAATCACTAGGAGCCTTAAACAAGGCTCTAACAGAAACAACGATAGGGCAATGAATGGGGGCTAAAAGAAGCCTTTAAATAGGCTTACCTATGCTACATAGAAACATAGAATGTGACGGCAGATAAGAACCATTCGGCCCATCTAGTCTGCCCAATTTTCTAAATACTTTCATTAGTCCCTAGTCTTATCTTATAGTTAGGATAGCCTTATGCCTATCCCACGCATGCTTAAACTCCTTTACTGTGTTAACCTCTACCACTTCAGCTGGAAGGCTATTCCATGCATCCACTACCCTCTCAGTAAAGTAATACTTCCTGATATTATTTTTAAACCTTTGTCCCTCTAATTTAAGACTATGTCCTCTTGTTGTGGTAGTTTTTCTTCTTTTAAATATAGTCTCCTCCTTTACTGTGTTGATTCTCTTTATATATTTAAATGTTTCTATCATATCCCCTCTCTCGTCTTCCCTCCAAGCTATACATATTAAGATCCTTTAACCTTTCCTGGTAGGTTTTATCCCGCAATCCATGAACCAGTTTAGTAGCCCTTCTCTGAACCCTCTCTAAGGTATCAATATCCTTCTGAAGATCCGGTCTCCAGTACTGCGTACAATACTCCAAGTGAGGTCTCACCAGTGTTCTGTACAATGGCATGAGCACCTCCCTCTTTCTACTACTAATACCTCTCCCTATACAACCAAGCATTCTGCTAGCATTTCCTGCTGCTCTATTACATTGTCTGCCTACCTTTTAGTCATCAGAAATAATCACCCCTAAATCCCTTTCCTCATATGTTGAGGTTAGGACTCTATCAAATATTCTGTGCTCTGCCCTTGGGTTTTTACGTCCAAGATGCATTATCTTGCACTTATCCACATTAAATGTCAGTTGCCACAATTCTGACCATTTGTCATTTGGCTTATCCCTCCTGGAACATCAACCCTGTTACATATCTTAGTATCATCAGCAAAAATACATACCTTACCATCAAGACCTTCTGCAATATCACTAATAAAAATATTAAAGAGAATGGGTCCAAATACAGATCCCTGAGGTACCCCACTGGTGACAAGTCCAAGCTTCGAATATATTCCATTAACTACAACCCTCTGTTGCCTGTCACTCAGCCACTGCCTTACCCATTCAACAATGGGTCAACGTCATCACTGCGATCCAAAACAGATTTGGATCGCAATGATGACGTGGTCACTTTAAGAGTGGGCGTGAAGTCACGTCCACACCTGTATATAGATGTCCTGCCACACGGCCATGGAGCGATTGCACCATGTGGCAAGAGGTGAGTTTCCCTCAGTGTGCTGCACAGTCGCGTGGAGCAGTCGGACCACGCAGCAGGAGAGGGTCTACGCGGCTCAGTGGAGGTAATTAATGCCACAATTATTGGTCAAAAGACCAAACAACAGAAAGCTGAAAAGTTACGGATGGGCTTAAATATTGGGGACCTCTTGAGGCAGGCACATGGCGCAGCTGGGCCCAATATGGCCGCCTATCCTGAGGCCTGCTCATGTTCAGAGTTTTCAGATGAACAGTTCCTCGAAGGGGAGTTGAAAGACATACCTTTTGGCAGACCCCCAGAGGGACATACTCAGAGGTCTGAATGGCTGGATCAGAGATCTGGAGACTACTTCTAGTACCTGTACACACCAACAGCCTCGCTGCAAAAGACAGTACAGGAGCTGCCACAGCAATGAGAGACTTATGATCAACACTTTGCAATACCTGAAGAGGCACAAAAATAATCTGTGGCGGAGGTACTGCACCTACTGCAGCGCCTTAAATCACGATATGTGGCTAGATAGCCGCTTTTGAATCCTTAAATCACGTAGTGCTCCAGCTAAAGAACCGTGGGAACTATTGGTCCACTTTCAAAACAGCAGAGATAAAAGGGAGGGAGATCTCCCTCTTATGCTGAAACCTTCGAGTACAGAGTTTCATAGAGAATTCTATACTGTATTAGAGTTAGTGTACGCATAGGGTTGGTATAGACTTTGTATCAGTTAGCAAAATGTAATTTACATCCTAGGCATTTCAGGCCTGATACATATCTATTTCAAGTAGTTTTTTTTTTCTTCTTTAGTTGCACTTGAGATGTTAAAACTTAATATACAAGTAATAAAATAAACACTTATTCATAGCTTTATTATTTTCCCATTTAAACATTTTATTCTTACTTGTATTAGGTATACATATAGGGTATTAAAAGAAAGCCATTTATATATATATATCTCAAATGTCCACAATTCTCAAAATATATCTTACTGTACATGCAAACGAGCACAGACCAGATTAAGCACAGCTTTTTAAAACCAAACTGTACAATCCAGGGCTGAGTTCAGAGAATTGATCCTTTTGGATCACATCCAGTGTTCTGGTTTAACCCTCTAAGTATGGAGGCAATTGTTCAATTTCTGAACTGAAACAAAACATAGAATTTGTGGTATGAGTTTGTTTCACTGTGATTTAAGGGTTTCTCTTTAAAAAATAAATAAAATAATAATAATAATATTATATATATATATATATATATATATATATATATATACACACACACATATATACACATATACATACACACGCACGCAGAGCTGGCGCTATCTGAGTGCTGGCTCTGCGCTAAGCCTCCATGGGCCGGCGGGGAGACCAAAGATCTACCTCACCGGCCCACAGCAGCATGGAGGGAGGCAGGAGAGGACCCAGGGAGCTCTAGACATCAGCAAATGGCGCGAGGAAGCAGAGAGCAGACAGCTCCCTCGCCGCGGCTGAGCTGGAGGGAGGGGGTATCCATCACAAGGGCAAGAGGTGAGACAGGGGGCGCTGAGTGTCTGCAGGACTCAAACCATAGGCGTGCCACGGGGATTAGTGTGTGCCCAGGCACACCCGGCACACCCCGTGCACACGCCTATGCTGGATTGTACAGTTTGGTTTAAAAAAGCTGTGCTTAATCTTGTCTGTGTTCGTTTGCATGTACAGTAAGATATATTTTGAGAATTGTGGACATTTGATACATAACTAAATTTAGAGGACGCATCAATCAGTGGTGATTTTTTAGTCGTTTTGTCCTCACCACATTTTAAATGTTTAATGTATTAAATAATCAACAATTTGCTTGAGTTATCACACTCACAATACACTGGTATATAATTCTGCGGTAATGACATGAATACAAAAATCTATTTCTCAAAGCTGTGTCTTGGGTGGGTCTGCGGATCTCTCTTTAATATTTATTGTTAAAGGGTGCTCTCTAGTGGTCTTTCAACAAACTGTAAAAGTTAGTATTTGAAAGAAAAAAAATATGTTACAGAGAGATTGAACTTCAAGTGGTGACATGAATAAAGGCAATTAAAAAACAAAAGAAGGAAGTACATTTGCACTGCAGTCCAAAACAATATAATCAAGATTCCAGGAGACATACCATAAAGTAACAACAGAAGTGTTCCAGAAACTGAACATTTCAGCAGAAATGCAGGTAGTGCAAAGAAAGACATACACCGCTCAAATATTGCTCTGGGCAAAGCAAGGAAAGAACCCGTGATGATAGAGTTTTTAAAGAAAGAAGAATGAACAGGTGGATAGTACACAATGTCAAAAGCCGCAGAGAGTAGGACATCACTACAACACAGATCAAATAATTGCCGGCTTACAGCTTATTTTCTTGTGACCAGTACAAAAAACAAAAAAATAAATAAAAATAATCACAGTTTGCATCAAGATGTTTCTTAGAAGAAATTGTAATTCCATAAACGGTTTCAGTACTGTAGATTGGTAGTTGTCTGAAAAAGCTTTCTTCGGAACAACTTATAAAAAAAACAAAAAACAGATTTGTTTCAGCAGATCATGCACATGCCTAGTCTCCTTTAAGAATTCATTTCAAGGGCCTCCTATTGCATTGCCATCTGGGCAACAGAGCTAACTGCCCATAAGTGAAGGCATGTTATTTACCTGTTTATTCAGGGGCCATATTAGGTCCATATGACCAGGGACTGGGGTTGAAGGGCACACAGAAGAGAAAAGCAAGAATCCATCTTGGAAGTAGCAGAGAGAGGAGAGTACCTCCTGGCCCCTGCAAAATTTAAGTGTACAAAATTTTTTGTTCTCCACATCAACCCCCCCAGTGTCATATTATATAGCACCAGGGAACCTTGTGGAGGACAGGGAAAGGGAGGGAAAAATGGAAGACATCTTTGCCAAACGGGACTTTGCTGCCCGTCAATAATAGTTTTAATGTTCAATAACTTCTACTGCACATTGCATAGTGCAGGCTCAGCTGCCTAGTGCCCACCGTCTTCTATAAAGTATTTGGTCAAGACTCATGCAGTGGCTAGATTCAACGTTGTCAAGCTCCACACTGCAGGACTGAGATGATTCTGTTTCAGTTTGAAATTAGTCTTGCTTCTGTTGACCACGTACTTCATGGCTTCATACTACCTCTGCAGCATTATCACATTGCTACCTGCAAAGGTAAGGAGTCAGAATCCTGCTGCTTTAACCCTGTGCAGGCGTGGCTCTCTAATTAGGTGATTTAGACGGTCGCCTAAGGCCTCGCGGCCGCTTAAATCGCCTTAGGGCAGACTGAACTGTCGGATCTTCGGTCCATGACCAAGGACCAGACAGTGAGAGGGGGCCCAGCGGCTTGCCCAGTATGCCGCCATCTGCGGGGCCCCTCCACATGGTCTGCCCACAGGGAGAGCCAGCCTGTGATCTGCAGCTCCGCCGAGTGCAGAGCTGCAGATCACATAATAAGGTTCTCGCGAACTCACAGAGCGTTGCCGCGGGTTACCACGGCAACGCTCTGATAGGCACTCGCGAGAACAAGGTCTGGAGGCTTGTTACAGCTTCCACACACACTGTCCCCAACACTGCCCACCCTCACTGCCCCAACACTGCCCTCCTATCCCCACTGCCCCAACACTGCCCTGCTACCCCCACTGCTCACCAACATACACTGCCCCAACACTGCCCTCCCACCCTCACTGCCCCAACACTGCCTTCCCACCACACTGCCCTCCCACCCACACTGCCCCAAAACTAAGCCCCTACCACCCCCACTGCCCACCCACATACACTGCCCCAACACTGCCCTCCCACCCACACTGCCCCCAACACTGCCCACCCACCCCCACTGCTCACCCACATAAACTGCCCCAACACTGCCCCTCACACATACACTGCTCCACCTCACTACTCCTCCTCCCACATACACTGCCCTCCCAACTTACCTTGCCCCAACACTGCCCTCCCACCCCCACTGCCCCCAACACTGCCCTCCCCCACCCCCCACTGCCCACCCACATACACCACTGCTCCCAACACTGCCCTCCCACCCTCACTGCCCAACAAAGCCCTCCTCCCACCCCACTTCCCACCCATACACACTGCCCTCCCACCCTCACTGCCCAACAAAGCCCTCCCACCCTCACTGCCCACCTACATACACTGCCCTCCCACCCACACTGCCCCAGAACTGCCCACCCACCCACACTGCCCATCCACTCACACTGCCCTCCCACACTGCCCTGCCTCCCACATACTCTCTCACCCACACTGTGCTGCCCCAACACTGCCCTCCCACACTAGCCTGCGCCCCCAACACTGCCCTGCCTCCCACACTGACCTGCCCCAACATACACCCACCACTCCGCATACACTGCCCTGCCAGTCACATACCCTGCCCCCACATTGCCCTGCCGCCCACATACCCTGCCCCAACTGCCCTGCCCACCACATACACTGCCCTCTCACTGACCACCAAATGCCCTGTCCCCCACACTGCACTGCCCTCCCACACACACTGCCCCCCACACTGAGCCACATACACTGCTCCCCACACTGACAGCCACATACACTGACCCCCACATACATTGCCCCAACATGCCCTGCTCCCTCACTGACCACCATACACTGCCCACATATACCCTTCCCCCACTCTGACCTCCACATATACTGCCCCCCCATTTACCCTTCCCCCACTCTGACCACCACACACCCTGCTCCCCCACACTGTCTCACACACTGCCCCCCTACACTGTCATACACACTGCCCCCTAATGCTGTCACACACCCTGCCCTCTCTACACTGTGTCCCACACACCTTGCCATCCCACACTGTAACACACCCTGTTCCCTCACACTGTCACACACTGTCATCTTCCTCCTCACTGTCCCCCACTCACACCCTGCCCCCAAAACTGTCACATTCCTCCATACTGCTCCCTCACCCTGTTACCCTTTCACACACTTGCACCCCATATTGTCAGCCCCCAACACTGTCACCAATACATACAGTCACCCCTCCCACACACTGCCCCTGCACATACTGTCACCCTTTCCAACACTGCCTCCTACACTCTCACCTACCCACATCACAATTCCACACACATACAGCCACCCCCACACTGTAATGCCCCCTTCACCCAGCCTCGCTCACATTAACCTCTCCTAATCTTGTCGCTCTCACCCCCTCCATCCATACCACAATTACCGGCCCTTGCTCTTCCACACTCACCCTATCACATTAATCCCCCTAATTCTATCACACTCGTCTTCTCTCATACTGTCACACTCAACCCCAACCCTCCTTCTTTTTCACATTAACCCTGTCACTTGGGCCCAACCATGCCACACTCACCCTGTCACATAATCCTGTCCGACTCACTTTCCCTCGCCTTGTCACACTTCCTCCTCCAGCCGTGTAACACGTAACCCATAACCCTGTCAAACTC